TGGAGAGTTCAGTTTGTAACCTAGGACTTGCTTGTCCTCAGTGCACAGAAATTAGATCAATCTGACCATATATATATATTTTAGAAATGATTTGGAAAATATTTGAACACCTGGTCTTAAAATATTTTATTCATCATGTTAAAATAAAACGTCCCATAATCAATTTTTTTTCTTTTCTTTTTTCAATTTTTCCAATTTTTCAGAAAAAAACCCAAAAAGGCTTCAGGAAAAAAACGGGAAAAAACCTGTTCCCCCCCCAAATTTTTCCGTTTTTTTTCCGGGCCTTCACATCTCTAAGCATGGGCCAAAGACACATTCACGAAACATTCTGGGAAGTTAAAGCGTGACACAGCTCATTGCTGGCCCACAGTGGGAACTGCCATTGCTCCGGAGAGACGGCTCCACACGCACCAAGTCATGGCTACCCACCTGCTGACAGGCTTCCGGAGTAGAGCGAGGGAGGCATAAACCCATCACTGTGCCCACTGGACCGTTTGGGGGAATACAACGGCCATTCCTGCAGCTCAGGGGAAAGGTGCTCTTCGCTTGCTGGAGTGTATTTTTGTACCTGTGGGGAAAAGTCCGGAGTGAGATTTTTTTGGGGGTGGCGACAAGACTTCACATCCAAGAGGCACAATAAAGGTTACCCATTCTGCCAGGAGCAACCCACTTCTGGAGTCTCAAGGGACATTTAAAAGACATTTCCCTGCACAAAACGACTCTGACAGCAGCTCCGTCTAGCAGTAAGGACTTCCACGACTAGCAAACTGCAGAAAAGAATGTATAAAAGAATGTATAAGCAGAAGGAAATGGCACCAGCTTGAACGTTATGAATATGCATAGTGCCACCTGTTTTTTTTAAATTTATGTTGTTTTAATCTGTTTTAGTTGTTATGTAAATTATTTGATCTGATTTTTATGATGTATTAAGACTTTGCTTGTGATCCACCCTGAGCCCATTTGCGGGAACGGCGGAATATAAATTGAACGAATGAATAAATAAATAATGTCGCATAACACAGAAATAAGCATACCTGTGTACTGTAAGCACGTTAACATACAAACTAGAAAAACCAGACAGGTCTGTAGCCATGAAAACATCAGTAAACTCCCCCAGTTTAACAATGTTCCATCAAGCAGAACGTGGCCCTGGCAAGCGGAAGGCCTGTTGAGACACAACCGTACTGCGGCACATGGCTTGCGTAGCACAAGCGTGAGCTCTTTCTGAGCGTCCACTTTCAACATACGCCCTGAAGCGTCTTTCCCCCTTCAGTCCAACATTCCAAGCAGTGGCACCTTAAAGAGTCCAGCAAGATTTTCGGGGTAGGAGCTTTTGAGAGTCCCTTCGTCAGATACGAGTTGGACTGGAGATCCCGAAGTCCTTATATCCCAGTCAGAAGGTAGGAGAGATGCTGCAAAGAAGGGACTCAGGATGCAGACGGAGGCACAATGCAAAATCCAATTGGCTTGATTAGAGTAGAGGAGAAATACTGGGGGGAGGGTGTGTGTGTCTAATCAAGCCGGTTCCAAAATGCCCTGTAGCTCTGCATCCTGGCTGGAACATAAAGACTTTGCAACGCCTTCTGGCTGGGACACAGAGACTCAGGGATGGCTATTTCACCTCTAAGTTGACTCCCGGAAGCTCACACACCCCAAATGATGCCAGTCTTTCAGGTGCTACTAGTCTCGACGCGAGCTGTTCCCCTGCAGACCAACAGGGCTGCCCGTCACGCAGAAGAGATTGCTGGAATACCCTGTGCCGTTTTCCTTGTGCAAGACCTTAGTGCGAATCTCCCCCCCCCCCAATTTCTTCCTGGAATGTAACAGTCTTTATGTTTAGTGGAAGAGACGCAGTGAGCTCCCGTCTCTAGTCCCAGCTCCTGCCAACCTAGCAGTTCGAAAGCAAGAAATTGCAAGTAGATAAATAGGTACCGCTTCGGTGGGAAGGTAACAGCGTTCCATGCGCCTTGGTGTTTAGTCATGCCGGCCACACGACCACGGAAACGTCTTCGGACAGCGCTGGCTCTTCGGCTTTGAAACGGAGATGAGCACCGCAACCCTAGAGTCGGACTCGACTGGCTTTTGAGCAAGGGAACCTTTACCTTTAGTTAAATGGAGATATGAAGAATCTAAAGCCCACCAAGAGTACTCTGAATTCAACCCCCCCCCATGCATTTAGTGGCCCCCCATTGAAACAGCTACTGGGGGTGGAAAGTGCCCTCAAGTCACAGCCAACTCATGGTGACCCCGTAAGGTTTTCAAGGCTAGAGACGTTCGGAGGCGACTCGCCAATATATTTTAATTGTTTCAGTTTTCTTATATTTGTATTTGCCTTTGACGTAAGCTGCCCTGAGCCCTGTTTTCAGGGAAGGGCCGCTTAGCAAACTGAAATAAATAAGCAGACAAATAAATTGCCTGCCTCTGCGCTGTGACCCTGGACTTCCTTGGTGGTCTCCCATCCAAATACTAACCGGGGCCGACCCTGCTTAGCTTCTGAGATCGGGCTAGCCTGGGCAATATTAAGTTTTGGAAAGGGTACCCAAGGCCAGATAAAAACAGGATGTGGCTTGTGGGCCAACCGACGGTCACTCCTGTAGTGCCGACGTGTAATCGCTACAGGTTTACTGTGGCAACTATTTCTAACCATTTCCATCCCTGCTTCCTTGTTCTCCCCACCTTTCATTTTAAAAAAAAACAGAAAGAAGAAATTGGGTTTAATATTCATGCAGCTTTCCAATAAAATTTTCCTTGGTCATCTAGCACACCAAGAGCAGCAGCGTCACCAACACTGTCTTGGCACTGGCTAGTAAGAGATGGAAGGAGGTATACAGCTTGCAGGAACGTTGTAGTCTCTTTCTGCAGAATACAACAGTACAGCAAGCCGTTATGGAGCCGGAGGGAAGGTGCTCTTTGAGAAATGCAAGCCAAAGGCACCCTTGCACTCAACGAACCTACTGACATGGTTATCTTAAACCCCAGATCTCTGTTTTGTGAAGGGAAGCCAGGGTTCGTTTGTTTTTCAAGTGATGCTACATTGGACTGCTTGGGTTGAAAATGCCGTTTACAGCGTTTCCTGCCACCTGATCCTGCACTGTCAGGTTTTGTGATATGTACGTTGCGTTCTTTCCATACATGAGTAACTGCACCCTGCATTGCATAGAAGTAACCCCACATGTTCCACCTCCTAAAAAGGTAAAGGTTCCCTTGCTCGAAAGTCAGTCGAGTCCGACTCTAGGGTTGCGGTGCTCATCTCCATTTCAAAGCCGAAGAGCCAGCGCTGTTCGAAGATGTTTCCGTGGTCATGTGGCCGGCATGACTAAACACCAAGGTGCACGGAACGCTGTTCCCTTCCCACCGAAGTGGTACCTATTTATCTACTTGCAATGTCTTGCTTTCGAGCTGCTAGGTTGGCAGGAGCTGGAACTAGAGACGGGAGCTCACTCCGTCATGCGGCACACTCGGGTCTCGAACGGCTGAACTACCGACCTTCCACAGCCTGCAGTTCAGCATCTTAACCACTTGAGCCACCGCTTACCAAACAACTTATTCTGGAATATTTAACAAGTGTTGTGATGGCCATCTAACCCTTCTGCTGTGTGCCCTTTGGTTTAGGAAAAGCACCCAACAGTTTTCAGGGTGTTGTCCAGGTCCCCTTTCCTTCTCATAGATACCTGATGAGATGGATTAGGAATGGGCACAGGAGTTAGTTTATGTCTCAAGGCAGGAGCAGACTTGGGTCTAGGTCTTTTGATCTCAGGCTCTTCCACTCTTTGAAAGCCAATGTCATCTTCACAGGATTTCCTCGACGGCAAGTGGGTGGAGTCAAGCCCTTCTTCTCTGTAATAGTGCCCGGAGGGCCTGCTTCGCCCCTTGTGAATACCGCAGTCTGGTTTTAGGTCGACAGACATAGGGGGCTGGACAGTTGCTGGACTGGGAGGCGGAGAGCCCGTTGTCACTGTAGAGTCCGAGGTGGAACTCGCTTGCTGTTTGTGTTTAAACTTAATAGAGTCACTTCTCTTAGGAGGTGTGGGAGGGGTTGAGATGGCTTCCGTTTTGGAGGGCTGGGGCAAGTGTCCCATCACCTGATTCGGAGACAAATAGTCCATTTTGGGAGGTGTCAGAGGTCTTTTGAAAGTATTGGGGTCAAAGATGGACTTCCTCTGCTTTGGCTTTTTGTACACAGAAAACTTTTCCGTCTCTGCAGTGGCCATGTTGACCACGACTTTCGGCCAGGTGCCGCCACTGTGCTTCCCGCCGTGCTCTTTGTCCAGCGTGGCCTCCACCATCATACAGTCCGTGACCGTGGCCTCGAATGGCAACCGTCTGCTGTCCAGGCTAACAATCCCGTAGCTTGTCTCCCCGTACACATCTGGATTGAAGGAGCCCAGGCTGTGTTCCGAGTTGCTATGGCACCCGTGGACTGAGCGACGGTGGGAGTCGGCGTGTAAAACAGTGCTGGCGAAGGGTTTGAGGTCACAGTACAAGCCGCCTTCCGGGTCACTCTGATCCTTCTTGACGTCCATTATGTCCGGGCTGAAAATGTCCGTCTGGGTGGAGCTGTTGTGCTTCAGGTTCCTTTTATTCTGAGCCTGCACCTCAGGGGTATGGACCCGACAGTTGGATAGCTTCTCTGAATCTTTAAGGTTCTCAAATATGTTTTGACCGCTCCAAGAGGAACTTGAGCTCTGAGGGAAAACCTAAATGGGAGGGGGAGAGGACAGCGTCAATGAAAAAGGCCGTACGTGGAACATCGAGACTACAGCACACACAGTAAATGCGTTCCCATCTGGCACTCCTGGGGAATGGGGGTTGCCGGTTAATTAAATGTGCTGGATACTCAGGCCCGTAGCCAGGACTTCGTGGCTTGTGGGACATTTTTTTTTCTGGTGGGGCTGAAGTTCTCGGTGCAGAAAGAAAAGCCACGTAGCCAGTAGAAGTCTGGTACCTGGACAGATCTCTAAATTGCAGGCTGTCAATCACTTTAGGTGACAGTTCTCAGCTGCTGCAAGTTAATCACTTCTGGCAGCCGAAGCAACAATTCTGGGAACAAGCTGGCAGGTGGGGTGATGACTTCTATAGTCAAGAGAGCTAACACTTAGGCAGGAAAACTCTCTTAAAGGAGATCAGTTTCTTGACACAGAGTTAGAAGGGATCCTAGAGGTCACCTACTCCAACCCCCTTGCTCAGTGTGGAAATCAGTCAACTACAGCACCCCACTCTGCTTAGAGGAGCACATGCCTTTAAAAATGTTTTAAAATGATTGAGAAGAGCATTTACAGGGGGAATTCTTGTGGAGCTGTGCCTTTAAGAAAGGGGGTGCAGCCCCCAAAAGCCCCCCATAAGCTATAGGCCTGTGGATACTTAAGCTCTGTGTTAGCAATGCCTAGAGGAGTGAGTGACCAAATCCCGTCCATTGGGAATGCCATGGCTACTGCTCCCCCGAGCCATAGAGCCGTCCTATGCAGAAGATGAACAACTGCTAGGAAGCCTCTGGCAGAGCGGAGTCCTGCCCTTGAGGCAAGCACTGGCTGTCAGAAGCCCAGCAAGGCCCAGAGGCATCAAGCTGGCCAGCGGGAGAGGCAGAAGTGGGGTGTGCACATGACCAAAGAAGACATAGTGGCATGGTGGCTGAGGGGGAGAAACTTGCCCTCTTCTGGGCAATGCCAGCTAACTGTGTTCTGGATAACCAAGTGCCAGATAAAGCTACTACTGCAAATCCACTCAACCTGTTACATTCTCTCCTGAATCCCTTCATATGAAATCAATTAGATAACATTTTGAAGACTGCCCTTAAAACGTTACGGGCCCGGCACATAATTTTCCCCCTTTGTATTTGGCTTCTTTACTTACGTAAAGGTTTTGGCTCTAAAAGCGATGATGCACCTTGAGATGCCTAATTTTGCAACATGGAACACAGAACTCTGCAGCCTGTCCAAGTTCAAGTCATGCAAATCTGCTTCATTTTGCACAAGTTTATTGTGCAATTTTAGTACTTTATTCCCCTGATAGCCACGCAGGGGGGAAAAGAGCGAATGTAGCTTTTAAAGCTGTGTTCCTACCCTTGGAAACCTTATCAAACCAGTCTTCTGATTTATAAGGTTTTGTTAGGTTACATGTTTCCTTTGGGCCCATGGCAGAGTCATAGGGAACAGAAGTCACCCCTCCACCACTTGAGTTCATACCACATGTCCAGTAACCATATCAGTTGCGCCAACAGAACAGGGTGAAAGTGAGAACCACCCTATATGCATAAACCGTAGGCAAGATTTTTGGAGCCAAAGTCTACAGGAGTTCCTGTCAAACTCGCTTTCCATTTTATTGCTCGCTTGCCATGGAAGTCGGGAGGGGGAACAGGAGAGTGTGAATTCTAAATGCTTTCGCTTTCAGATGCTTTGAAGTAGGTTGTTACTTATTGGGCCTGGGAACATCCACCGGCCTTGAGTCTCAGTTTACACCGCCTGACTTTTGTCTACATGTTGGGGGGATGTCACCAAGGTGGGAACACAGAACTGTTGATTTGGGCAGGTGGAATATCTGGAGGTGATTGGCTCCTAACCTTTTAGGGTCCCTGTTTGAACCTTGTATATCTATTGCTTTCATGCTTCCATCTTCAGTTCTAACACAGGCAACGTACGGGCTGGATCCTATCAATGTCTCAATAAACCTATCATTCCTCTGAGTGAATGTTGTTGGGAACTGATTTATCTAAGAGTCTGACAATACTACCTTGAGCTAATTTTACTTCTGCTTCATTTCATGAATGTAGCAGACTGCCAAATCGCAGCTGGAAATGTTGCACGTATTCTACCATTGCACGTATTCTATGTATTGCTACCATTCAGTGCAGATAACCATAACCATCCCCACCGTAGTACAGTCTTGGAAATGACAAAAATAACACAAGGGCACATTTTTACTTCCTTCACAGTTTCTTTAGAGCAGGCGTCCCCATTCCTTTTTTGAGCCTGTGGACACTTTTGGAATACTGACACACACAAAAAAAAAATCAGGCAGCTGTCGTCGGCGATGGTGGAGGCGCGCGGTGACGTCAAACACAGGTGCGGTGGAGCCAGAAGGACGCAGCTGAGGCCGGTGGAAGGCGTGAATCGCGTGCCACAAGCTAACTCACCTGAGCGCCAGGAGGAACATCTCGCCGGAGGGGAGACGCCGGGGAAAGAACTAAAGAAGAGCCGAGCCAAAAAGGGGGGGAAAAAACATCGACCACCACCGGGTGCCGGTAGGCAGTCCCACCCCGTACAAATGTGGCCCTAGTTAGGGAATAATGTGATTAGCACCCTCTCTGTAAACAGCCCAGAGACCTCCAACGAGGGTTAGGGCGGTATAAGAAATCGAAGATATAAATAAATAAATAAATAAATTTGATAGCCGCAGGACATGAACAAATAGCACACACGGGTTTTATCGGAAAATATGCAAATCTGCTTTTTTATTAACATTGAGTCTGCCAACAAAAGGGGTAAAAACAGATTTTGATAATGGTATTTATTTGTCCATTGATATTTGTAGACTGGGGGAGTCTGCACCTTGAGACGCCTAATTCTGCAACATGGAACACAGAACTCTGCGGCCTGTCCAAGTTTAAGTCATGCAAATCTGCTTCATTTTGCACAAGTTTATTCTGCAATTTTAGTACTTTATTCTCCTGACAGCCACGCAGAGGGGAAAAGAGCGAACGTAGCTTTTAAAGCTGTGTTTCTACCCTTGGAAACCTTATCAAGCCAGTCTTCTGATTTATAAGGTTTCGTTAGGTTACATGTTTCCTTTGGGCCTGTGGCAGAGTAATAGGGAACAGAAGTCACCCCTCCACCACCTGAGTTCATACCACATGTCCAGTAACCATATCAGCTGCGGCAACAGAATAGGGTGAAAGTGAGAACCACCCTATATGCATAAACTGTAGGCAAGATTTTTGGACCCAAAGTCTACAGGAGTACCTGTCAAACTCGCTTTCCATTTTATTGCTCGCTTGCCATTGAAGTCGAGAGGGGGAACAGGAGAGTGTGAATTCTAAATGCTTTCGCTTTCAGATGCTTTGAAGTAGATTGTTGCTTATTGGGCCTGGGAACATCCACCGTCTTGAGTCTCAGCTTACACCACCTGGCTTTTGTCTACATGTTGGGGGAATGTCACCAAGGTGGGAACACAGAGCTGTTGGTTTGGGCGGGTGGAATATCTGGGGGTGATTGGCTCCTAACCTTTTAGGGTCCCTGTTTGAACCTTGTATATCTATTGCTTTCATGCTTCCATCTTCAGTTCTAACACAGCCAAGGTTTGGGCTGGATCCTATCAATGTCTCAATAAACTTATCATTCCTCTGAGTGAATGTTGTTGGGAACTGATTTATCCAAGAGTCTGACAGTACTACCTTGAGCTAATTTTACTTCTGCTTCATTTCATGAATGTAGCAGACTGCCAAATCGCAGCTGGAAATGTTGCACGTATTCTATGTATTCATTCAGTGCAGATAACCATAACCATCCTCCCCGTAGTACAGTCTTGGAAATGACAAAAATAACACAAGGGCACATTTTTACTTGCTTCACAGTTTCTTTAGAGCAGGCGTCCCCATTCCTTTTTTGAGCCTGTGGACACTTTTGGAATACTGACACACACAAAAAAAAAATCAGGCAGCTGTCGTCGGCGATGGTGGAGGCGCGCGGTGACGTCAAACACAGGTGCGGTGGAGCCAGAAGGACGCAGCTGAGGCCGGTGGAAGGCGTGAATCGCGTGCCACAAGCTAACTCACCTGAGCGCCAGGAGGAACATCTCGCCGGAGGGGAGACGCCGGGGAAAGAACTAAAGAAGAGCCGAGCCAAAAAGGGGGGGAAAAAACATCGACCACCACCGGGTGCCGGTAGGCAGTCCCACCCCGTACAAATGTGGCCCTAGTTAGGGAATAATGTGATTAGCACCCTCTCTGTAAACAGCCCAGAGACCTCCAACGAGGGTTAGGGCGGTATAAGAAATCGAAGATATAAATAAATAAATAAATAAATTTGATAGCCGCAGGACATGAACAAATAGCACACACGGGTTTTATCGGAAAATATGCAAATCTGCTTTTTTATTAACATTGAGTCTGCCAACAAAAGGGGTAAAAACAGATTTTGATAATGGTATTTATTTGTCCATTGATATTTGTAGACTGGGGGGGCGCTTTGAGAATGTATTTAAAGTTAAATTTGCTTTCTTTCTCTGCTCCGCTCATCTCACACCTACCCAGGGAGGGGAACACTGGCCGGGGAAGGGAAGACCGATCGGGGAGGCACGCCTCCCCTTCGCTTCCCCAGCCGCCCTGCCGGGAGCCACACAATATGTGTGGAAGAGCCGCAGTTTGACCACCCCTGGCCTAGTCGCTTTACAGCAGATGCCCATAAACAGCTGCTTAACCAGAAGCCAAAGCTTTGCTCCCCTTTCCGATGCTCACCTTCATCAACGAAAGCGTCAGAGACTCCCTGCAGTTCCGCAGCAAGGCTTCACATTCAGTCAGTGATTTATTATCTAGTGCAATGCCATTTATCTGGAACAAAAAGGCGACACAGCAACAGTGTGAAGGCTGAGGTCAGGTAAACACCTTGTCTAGCTCCTCTTCACTAAAATGAAAGCTTCGGGCTATGGGGGCAGGGAGGGAGAGAAACCCACACAAGTGCATTATTATTCCCCGGCCAATGCAGATTCTCCCTTGTTTTGTGGTGGTTTCCGCGTGGGAAGTCGTATAGGCAGTGTTCCCTCTAAGCTGAGTTAGTGTGAGATAGTTCACAGTTTTTTAGCCTCTGGCTCACACATTTTTGTCTCAGCTCAGGAGGGATGGCTCCAGAGCAAACTAATTTATGTAGTAGCCAAATCGCTCACTCACAACTTTAAAGCCAGTAGCTCACAGAGTAGACGTTTTGCTCACAAGACTCCACAGCTTAGAGGGAACATTGCATATAGGCCCATCGCTTGCCTCGTTTCGGAAGCAACCTAAGAACATTTTTGTTTCCAGTGGACTTTCCAAACCAAACCAAAAGTTTACTACGGTCATAAGACCAGTCACAATAAATACAGATAAAAAGGACAAGTTAAAATGAATAAATACATAAAAGATATGGGATATATGTGTAAAAGACACACTCGTTTAATTAATTTATTTCCCAGCAACTGACGTTTCCTTCGTCAAGTGATACCGCTTTTTGAGTGCTATCACACAGAATTTTGCTACTGCATATGATACAGTTCTCTGACTATCACTGGACTTTCAGGAGTCGCCCTGCTTGTCTGAAAGAACTGTTTGCGCTCACCATTGCAAACCATTTTCCAAATATTCGCCGAGACTGGGGATATTTATTACATTTTACAGGGCTCTTTTTGTAGAAAAAGCCCAGCAGGAACTCATTAGCATAATAGGCCACACCCAACAGCAGGAACTCATTAGCATATTAGGCCACAACCCTGACAGCACAGCTCATTAGCACATTAGGCCACACCCCCATGTTACCAGAAGCGTGGTCATCCAGCCACACCCACCTTTTGCTTCTTATTCTGTTTACCTTATTCTTATGTTCTTACCTTGTCTGTTGTCAAAACCCAGGGCTTTTTTTTGTAGCAGGAACTCCTTTGCATGTTAGGCCACACACCCCTAATGTAGCCAATCCTAATGAGTTTCTGCTGTTGGGTGTGGCCTGTTATGCTAATGAGTTCCTGCTGGGCGTGGCCAACTCGGGAGCCAGCCGGAACTCCGTTCCTGTGCGTTCCTGCCCCAAAATAGCCCTGCATTTATAACTAAAAATAAAGCATGCTTCCAAAAGCAGGGATTTGCTCTTGGCATGTGCGCTCCCTCACGCTCTCTGGACCCTCCTCTCCAAGACGAATACTACTACTTACTTCTGTGGAGACAGATCCAGATGGGCAGCTCTGTTAGCCTTTCTGGAGCAGTAAAAAAGAGCCAGAGTTCAGTAGCACCTTAAAAAAAATTGCAGCAGTGTATGAGCTTTTGTGAGTTCCTGGCCACAAATTTTGTTATTTTTTAAGGTGCTACTGGACACTTACTTCTCTGGTTTCTGTGGAGAAATGCCTTTTATCCTAGGAGGTCTGAACTGAGCAAAACCTCCATGCTGCATTTTAACATTCCCCCCGCCCCAGCAGAGACCAGGAAAGGGGGGTGGGTCAGTTCAACTGCTTCCAATGCTCCCTCTAAGCTGTGGAGTCCTGTGAGCAAAAAAAACTACTTTCTGAGCTACTGGCATTAAAGTCGTGAGCGAGCGGTTTGGCTACTGCATAAATCAGTTTGCCCTGGAGCCATCCTTCCTGAGCTAAGTCAAAAATGTGTGAGCCGGAGGCTAGAAAACTCTGAGCAAGCTCACACTAACTCAGCTGAGAGGGAACACCGCTTCCCACCCCCATACAAATGCTAATAGATTTAGCAGGAGAAATAATGGGTGGGTCAAGCTCTTCCCTTCCTCCTAGCAGGGAACTGAGTTTTGGAGGAACGAAATGCTAGAAGGACTTTAGGAAGGAGATGCCTGGAGATCGCCAGGAAATGCTTCTTTGACCTGGAGTGACCTTGACAGTGGGTGGAGAAACAGATATTATTACAAAAAAAACAACACCCTTGCTGCAGGAAGGAGGTCTCTTTTCCTGGGATGCTGAGTCCATGAGAGGACGGCAGCCATTCTTGACCATGTACTGGCCTAAAGAGCTGGGCGGAGCTGCAAGGTAAGGGACACTTTGTAGGGATTTGTGACTACCTAAGGTAAAGGGGCCTGTCCTATTTTAACATCTCATTGGGCACATGTAGAGAAAGGGACAGAAGGGACACCCCGCACTGGTGTGAGCTACCAGTCTCTGTCCCCAGCTCGCCGTCTACCCAGCGGTTCGAAAGCTTCGGCAAGTAGATAAAATGGGTACCACTTCTTAGAGAGAATGAGCACACTGAACCCCCCTTGTGGGGTGGAGCGGTGTTAGCCGGCGAACGGGAGTCCAGCTCGGAAGATTGGAAAGCCTAGAGAGATCTCCTTCGGCGTGAAGACAGCCTGTAATGGGCCGTTCCGGCCAGGCGGTGGCAGTGTGGCGCTACAACTCGAAGGAGTCTGGAGAAAGCTGACGGCATCAAACCCGGCCGGGAAAACACTGTTCCGGATCACGTCTCATCTCCATCTGAACAAACCCTCGTTGGCTGCGAATGTGTGTGATTTAAGATATATATATATGTTGTCCTCCCTTACCCCACAAATCATTGTTTGTCCCTCGTGAAAAATGAGTAACTGTAAAAATCGCTCAGAGCCAGCAAGCTCTGCAGGATTGAGTGATCAATAAATCGAAGGATGATGATGATGATGATGATTATTATTATTATTATTAGCGTTTTCCCCATTTGTTTTGGTCTCCCTTGCTAAGTTCGATGCGATGCTAAAAGTATGCTTGTGAACATTTTCTTTTTAATAAATACTTTATCACTTTGGATGCTGGGAGTGGATCTCTGTACCACATAGTGTGTCCGAGACGGTGGAGGTCTATTTTAAAAGAAGCACCAGGGGAAGGCAGGCAGTTGGCGTGGCTATTCCTCCAGGGGCGCACAGGGCAGTAAACCGTCTCTGTGGTGACCAGGCACTGGGCAGCAGGAGACACCGAGGCAAGGCCTCAGGACTTGGAAGGGAAGCTGGGAGTCCTGACAGAGGGCAATTCTGTACACAGTGGTGGTGGCAGGCTACCCAAAAGTGGAACACGAGTCCCTCCAGGTGTGGAGAAACACCTAGGTGGGCAGGGCAGAACAGGGCCTGCAGGCCAGAGCAGGCACGTTCCACCACAGTTTCTCCTCAGAGAGCGCGACACACGCACCAAAGTTTATCATCGTGGTTCCCTCAGAAAACAGAATTTAAAATCCTTGTTTTGCTATGGTTTTGCAGACGTTACACAGGAATCTCATTCCTGTTGTAAAGAGAATTAGTGCAGAAAACTGCCCCTCAGTTCTCAAAATTATCAATTTTGGGGAGTCAGAACTCTACCATATACCAGACCGCAAAATCAGAAAAGAAAGGACGCACACAAAAAAACCCTTGACAAACAGATTTCAAAAAGGCCTGGTTTCCGCTCCTGGTCCAGCCACCGATATTTCTGTGTGCATTTTTTTGCTTTTATTTATTTATATCCTGCTTTTCTCCTCATTTCGGACTCAAAGCGCTATCTATGCAGTTGCTTATGTACAGTTCTGAATATGTCACCAAAACAAATAAATAAAAATATCATGACATAATTCAGCCCCCACCCTAAATAACAACAACAACAACAGATTGGATTTATACCACACCCTTCACTCGGAGTCTCAGAGCGGCTTACAAACTCCTTTCCCTTCCCCTCCCCACAACAGACACCCTGTGAGGTAGGCAGGGCTGAGAGAGCTCTTTCCAAAACTGTCCTTAAGAGAACAGCTCTGACAGAACTATGGCTTGCCCAAGGTCATCCAAGCAGCTGCAGGTGGAGGAGTGGGGAATCAAACCTGGTTCTCCCAGATTAGAGTCCGTGCACTTAACCACTGCACCAAACCACTACACTACACCCTGAAGCACAGTCAAGGAAGCTAAGCCATGGTTTCTGGCAATTGTCTGCCTGGAAAATCCAATCCAGAAACCACGAACTGAGCTAAACCCTGATTTGGCATGAAGCCTGAACAGTTAGAGCTCCTGCTTCGTCTTCAGAAGCCTGTTGAGAGGGGATTACTGAGAAGATGAGAAAAGAAAGCAGAAAAGGGGCTTTAACCAAGGTCTGATTATATATATGTTCTGGAAGCATGAACGGTGGCTTCCGTTCTAAATGATGGTTACTGCAAACTGTGGTTTTGGTGTGATCTCCAAATTGCGCTTATAAATCAAACTTTATCTAAGAGATACCTTAAAAAAAACGGAAAGACTTACGGCAATTATCCTGTCTCCCACCGAGAGGGATCCCTCTTTGGCAGATGGGCTACCAGGCACGACTGCAGCGACAAACACTCCGTTTTCTAGACTAATCCCACTATCTGAAAGTGAGAAGGCAGAAACGTGTTCGTCATCACCCATTTCACAAAGGCAGTGCACCTGGTATATGCTTGAAGTATACAGGAGTCACTGTTCCAAAACAACTACTGGTGGGACAGAAGGATGTGAGCTCAGAACAGGGACTCATACAGAGATGCTCCGATCCTGCCTGATGTCGAGATGTGACAACATGCCCTCCTCGTTCCCAAGCTGGCTGGATAGGAACAGCAGGGCTTTTTCTTTTTTTCTGGGGGAACACCTGGGAACAGAGTTTTGGAACCTCTTCGACAATTTTTCAAAAAAATGTTTAAAAGTTCGCGACAACAGATTTAGAGTCCCGTGGGGGCACCTTTAAGACCAACAAAGGTTTATTCCAAGTAAGAGCTTTCGTGTGCACGCACACTTTATCAAATACGTAGAAAAGTTTATGAGTTTTCAGTACACAGATTGAAAACTTCCATTTCCCTCTTGAGAGTTCTGGCACTTCTTTAAAAATAAAAAAGCCCTGGGGATACGGCTATAGGGGAGGTGCTGGGGAAAGACCCTGCTCGCTAGCAGCAGCTGAGTAACATCTTCTTGAGTTTGTTCTCCCCTCTGAGCACAGGTGTTTAAGGCCTGGGCCTGCCCAGAGGCATGGGCCAAAGGGATCTTGTTCTTCGGTTCTTCAGGCCAGGTAGAAGATCAGCGAGAGGGGAAAGAAGATCTACCCTTCCTTTCTTTTTTTGTCCCCCCCCCCCGTGTATTGCTAGCTGCATATGCCAAATAATAAACAAGTAAATGAATAAAATACAGCAGCGAACAATGCAGAGGGAGACGCGTCCTCCTGACATTTTGGACTCTCCCAAGAGTGCCCCCTCCAAACCACAGCACAAATTTATCCTGGCAGCACACTAAATTGCTTGTCTTCGTTTGAGCATCTTAATGCGACAGTTCTCAACCTTTTCTGCATGCTGGCCCAGACCCACAAGTCCAAATTTACGGAGTATGTGGTGACCAGTGTTCCCTCTAAGCTGAGTTTGTGTGAGCTAGCTCACAGTTCTTTAGCCTCCGGCTCACACGTTTTTGCCTTCGCTCAGGAAGGGATGGGGCTCCAGAGCAAACTGATTTATGCAGCAGCCCAGTTGCTTGCTCACAACTTGAATGCCAGTGGCTCACAAAGTAGAATTTTTGCTCATGAGACTCCACAGCTTACAGGGAACATTGGTGGTGACCCACCCATGTCCAGCCCAAATTTATTGGTGCCCCAGGCCAACTGTCACCTTGGCGTCCTCTCCAGTTCAGCGTTCCATTTTCTACAGTGGCCAACCAGATGTTTTGAGAAACCAAAGAATGTCATACAAAAGGCGCTGCTGCCCCCACGATGAGTCCCAAGCGAGTGGCAACCCGACAGACACGGCCTTCGCCTACGGAGGTGAGACCACCCCTCTCCTTCTCCATTCCTCCCTCCAATCCCCCCTCAGATTCACAGAAACTCACTCTAGTAACCATCTGGATACTGTTTTACTTGACGAACACGTATATGCAGGGCAGGGGGAAAAAATCAGCGGATCTACAACCGTTTCCAGGGTCAGATCACGGTTTCCCAAATGCAACAAAGGGCAACAGGAAAAGGCCGCTAGGGAGGGCTGGACCATGGCCCACTTTCAGAGGCTCTGCGACCCATTTTGGGGTCCCGACCCACAGGATGGGAAACGTTGCCCTAAGGTACTGTGAATGTGTCTCTCCAACTCTGGGGGATTTTTACCTTTATGGCCGGAAAGACTGATGTGCAGAGGCGTTATCACCTTCCCTCCTAAGGACTTCCTTCGGCGGACCACCATGTTGATAACTCCTCCGCCATTCAGCACGGCCTTAATCACTTGCTTCCTGTCCTTGTTGGTGAGGTCCACATCGTTGATCTTCAGTAGCCAATCGTTCACTCTGACAAAATGAAGAAAAGGCGAGGGAAGCCTTAGGCGTGCGGAACCCGAGCCAAGCCTTTTATAAATGTGCTCCTTGGCCTCAGGAAAACAGACCCACGCTCTCTTTGTTTATTAGGACATCACTAAAGGCTGCCAATAAGGCCTTTTCTCTTCATCACATGGGGGAGAGGAAGCCTCTCTTTTGCAAAACCTGCAGGCCAACCCAGTATTTCCTTTTTATATATATATATAATTTTTTAAATTTGTATTGAGGTCTTACATTTCATATCCATGCATAGTCCTTTTCTTCAAGGATACATAACCAAACATCAAATACATCAATTTCCCCCTTTATTATTTCCCTCCCCTTACACGAGCGACCAATTGAAAGGGGGGGGGGAATCTGCAACCATAAGCACACCCTATAGAGTTTTATAAGTACATCATCATCGCCCCCCCTTCTCTTACCCATCTTATATACCTAAACCATTTCTTCCTTATCTCCAAAGCCTTCTCTTCCCATGTCTTTTCCTGCTATAATATCAATAGGATATCTGTTTGAATCCATTCATATAGGCACCAGTTCCATCTTTCCAGAGTCCATTTTAATGCATCTTTCCATCCATAGGCTATGACCGCATGAGCCGCTAAAATCATAGCTTTAAATAAATCCTTTCTAGATTTATCTACTTTATTATTTCCCAGAATTCCCATAAATAACACTGTCTTATTCAACTCAGTCCTAACATTACATAAATTATCAACCTGTTCCAAGATCAGTTGCCAAAATTCCGTTAACCGTAGGGCATTCCCACCATAGAGGTGCATAATGTCCCCTTGCCCTTTTGCGATGCCAACGCTCTGATCTCATTCCCTTAAGGCCAACCCAGTATTTCCAAACCAGTTTTCCAACACACGTTAGGAACCCTCACAAAAGTAGTCATGAACACTTTCCCTATTAGGAAAGGTTAAGGCGCTTAGGGCTCTTTAGCTTGGAGAAACGACGACTGAGGGGTGACATGATTGAGGTTTAGAAGATTATGCATGGGAAAGAGCAGGTAGAGAAAGAGGTACTTTTCTCCCTTTCTCACAATACAAGAACTCGTGGGCACTCCATGAAACTGCTGAGCGGTCGGGTTAGAACGGATAAAAGGAAGTACTTCTTCACCCAAAGACTGATTAACACTTGGAATTCACTGCCACAGGAGGTGGTGGCGGCTACAAGCATGGACGGCTTCAAAAGGGAATTAGATAAGCATATGGAGCAGAGGTCCATCAGTGGCTATTAGCCACAAGGTATAGATAGGGGCTCTGGGGCAAGTGATGCTCTGTCATCTTGGTGCTTGGGGGGGTCAACAGTGGGAGGGCTTCTAATGTCCTGGCCCCACTGGTGGACCTCCTGATGGCACTTGGTATTTCTGGCCACTGTGTGACACAGAGTGTTGGACGGGATGGGCCTTTGGCCTGATCCAACATTGGCGTCTCTTATGTTCTTATGTTCTTATGAATTCATTAACGGTGTTCTTCCCCAGAAATCACAATAACTCTGAAGCTTTGTTCTGAGAATACGGCTGAGGAGGGGCCGGATCAGACACACGGGGGACCCAAACAAGGGCACGTCGGCCATGAGGTTATGAAGGAAGCATCGCTTACACGATTTCCAAACCTGCTATTTTGCAACGACTGCTACATAATTCAGGGGACCTGGAACAGGGATCCCCGACCTTTTTGAGCCTGTGGGCACTTTTGGAATTCTAAAGAAGTGTGGTGGGTGCGGCTGTAAAATGGCGGCTCCAGGAGGTGGAGCCAACCACAGAATGGCTGCCTCGGCTTACCTTCAGTCCCGAAGATCCTTGTGAGGTGGGGGCCGCTGCCGCCGAAGCAACGTTTTAAAAAATCTGCACAGTCAATCAGATCTCCGACAGCTAATCAGAAGCCCTGCTGGACGAAACCCCCGCCTGGCCCCACCCACTTTCTAAAACACTTGGCAGGTGACAGAAAAAGTATTGCCCGTTGGGCACCATGTTGGGGATCCTTGGTCTAGAAGAAACAGGCGTGAACTTTAGTTACTGCAGTGCCTCTGTGATCCAGCAGAGGGCCACAAGCTCAGCCTTTTGCACCAGACTTTGTTACAAGGTGAAGATCACTAGGGCGGGGGGGGGGGGGTCTGCATACCCCCCCAGCATATTCCATCTACTGTTTAAAATGTTGGCACCAATATCTAATTTGCAGTTAGGAGTTCCACTGCATCCCTGCATTGGTCAGGACGTTGGACTAGACGGTCTGTATGGTCCCTTCCAAATCTATGATTCTATGAATCAGCAGTGGGCAGTCTTGTACACCTCAAGAGACCCCAACCCTCCGCATTCATCCTATTCACTGTGGTATGGGCAACTCCCCACCATTGATGATTTCTTCCAACAGGAAAATGGGGGGAATCATGTGCCCTTTTCAAAGTGTGTGCCCCATGCAGACTACCCAACTTGGGGGGGGGGGGAGAAAGAATGTATGAGCAAGGGGGAGGAAGAAGAAAAACGGGACTGTGCTTGGTATCCCTGCTCCTGACATCACCATGTAAACTGTGGTGTCCACACAGCCCAGAGTCCATAGGCTCTGAACGCACGACCTGTGACAGCCATTCCATTCTCCACATGCATTAATTTTTACCCGTTTTTGATAGTCCTCATAGGGCCCAGAGTTGCATCCCACTCACACTAACCCCCCGATTCCTTACCGTAAGCGCCCATCTGCAATACTTCCTTTGTCCACTTTGGTAACGAATATTCCACAGTCCCCGGGGAGATACGGCTCATTCACACCTTCGGCCACGTCGAAACCAAGCGCTTTCAAATCCATATCATCCTAATTAAATTAAATTTAAAAAAAAACACTGCTTGTTATCTGCAGTGATTGTGCACAGAAAAACAGCGTAGATGCAAGATCTTCATTGTGCCTTTATTCTGCAAAGAAGAAATCTCCGGAAATTCACGTGATGCTTCGAAAAGCTCTTTTCCTCCATTTTATTTTAAGCGTATTTATTCTCTCTAAACCAGTTGCACTCATTCTGTGGTACCCCAGGAGAGCAACGCTTACAATTAGCATCTACCAAAGGGGCTTCATGGCTACAGAATTCCCCTGGATACCCTCCCACTATGCTCATACATACAATAACTAAATAACTAAATATATGATGAAGTTAAGAAGTAACTGCTTGGCCACTGTGTGAGACAGGATGCCGGACTAGACGGACCAGCGGTCTGATCCAGCAGGGCTCTTCTTATGTTCTTAAGCCTCCAATAGGCGGCACTCTCCCAATGTGGAGGATGGCGGAGAGCGGTAGAGTTCCTAGACTTACCCTGTCCTTCTCAAACTCTACAACTTCCGTTTCCCATTCCAGAGAATCGGTATCAATGGCTGAATCGTGAGAGCTGTGGGCCATCAATTGCCGAAATCTCGCTTCCTTTTCCAACTGGTTCTCCATCTTCTCTCTGTACAAAGAAATATGTTTGAGCATTTCAGCAAAGGAGCATGGATATATATTTCAGCTCTTAAATTCTCCTGATTATTGCATGCATGTTATATCGATGACACAACACCACTTAATTAACCTGGGCCAAATATACATACGCTGCAACCTCTTTTTTTTTTAAATGAAGTCTCTGCAAACTTTTGATATATCCTTGAATACGACTGTTCAGAAGGCAACTTGCCAACCCCTAGTTCAACTGGCTCACTCTAAATTCCATCTAAGTTCACTGCTAGCAACACTAGACCTCCCTCACCTGGAAGAACCCAGGGGAAACAACCCCTCCCTGAACAATTCCAATGGGATAACTGGAAATTTGGGGGAGTACTAGAACACTCCCTATGAATTAATTTCTTTTGCAATGAGTTAACGGTTTTTTAAGACAAGGTTCTAGTCTCTCAAACCATGCTGTAAGCAAGATAATCTACAACATTAGGGAATGAAAACTCTTGAGCATATTGTGTAGACCCGGACAACATCTTTTCGACAGCTAGCTTTGAGTCCAGCGGCACCTTAGATTTTCAGGGTATGAGCTTTAGACAGTCAAAAATACAAATGAAGCCTCCAGTGCAATCACATGTCCAGTAGTACTTCTCTCTGGTCAACTGTATATTAACCTAAGGAACATTTTATTGGGAACATTTGGCTGTACCATCTCAGAAGAATATACAGTAATTGCACTGGAGGCTTCATTTGTATTTTTGTATTTCTTTTCTTTGCCCAGTGGTTAAACTTTGGAACAATTGGTTTCTGGTCTTTATTCCACATTTTGTATTTGTATATGTATGATTGTATGTATTTTTGCATATCAGCCAACATGTTCTGTCTGTATTAGACCTCTGAGGAAGGCCTGTAAAGGCCGAAACGCGTTAGGTCTATCTTATTAGCCCTTGTATGTTTTTATATTTGTATATGAGGTATGAATGGGCTCTTGTTTGTTATTTTAATTTATGTTGAATAAATACATGTATATTTTTGTATGCTTCATAATTAGATTTTTAGAGTTGGCCCTCTTCTATTCTTGACTAACCTTTTTGGATTCCCCCCCCCCGGGCTGTTTGTTTGTTTGTTTGTTTGCAAGAGAAACCTAATAGAGGTGGCTGCTTCATGGATGGATCTAGTGGATTTCTTCTTCCCATGGCTTTAAATAAAAACAGATGCTGTAAAACATCTGAATTTGGTCACCGCTCTAAGTGTGCACCTGCATTAACTCTATGTAAGTTGAGGAAGCCAATTCGTTTTCTGTGTCCACTTCATTTAGAAGACAAGGCAAGAACAGCTGTTGTGCAGAGGCTTCGTGATATTGAATCACAAAATGAAGAAGCTTTGCTACCTGAGAACTACAGAAACATAAAATCTTGGCCAAATTTTACTGTTGTCCCTTATTTAGATAACATTACCTATGAACCCTATAGATGGGCCTTTTCCAGAGCCCGTTTTGAGGCACTCCCTTACGCTGTACTGCAAGGTAAATTCACTCGAGTCCCAGTGCATGAACGTAGATGCCCATGCATGGCTAATATGGTGGAATCAGTTACTCATGTCCTCCTGTTCTGCAGATTCTATCAGGAGGAACGAGACCGTCTCATACTACCCCTTCTGTCTCGATTTAGCCCTTTGCAGTCTTATCTTGACTTTAGGCCAGAAGTCCTTCGTAAATTCCTTTTATTATTTTTTTTTATTTTTTTTTAAATAGTTTATTTAGGTTTTCCAATACACAAAAAGATATACATCTTTTACATTTGTATTTCATACATCCTGTCGAGTCTATTCCACAAATTTGTCTTTTACCCATTTATAGAAATCTGCCCATCGTTCTTTAAACACCATATCATCTTTCCTTTGCAAAATTATTGTTAGTTTGTCCATTTCTGCGACCTCCATAAGTTTATCTATTAGTTCCTTTCTTTTAGGAATCTTTTCTTGTTTCCAATTCTTAGCAATCAAAATTCTCGCCGCTGTGAGCATATATGTTAGTATATACACATTTTTCCCTGAAGATGTTCAGAGCTCAGTGACTTACGCTGTGGCAAAATTTTGTTGCTTAGCTATTAGGAAACATGAACTTATTTTAGCTGAAAAGATTGTATGATTCTCTTATTAACACTATTTTACTTTTTTATATTCTAGCTAAATTATAAACAAGATTAACTGTGCTATTTAAAGTAGTAAAATAAGTTGGGGGGGCAAGTCTCACATATAGTTCAGTTTTCCCCTGAATTTTTCCCACTGCTTCGAAATTTCTGTAAGCCCTTCCTCAAGTTTGCTGGTTAGTTGTGATGATGTTTTTAAATAAACCATCACATAGTTAAATTGGCCCAGACTAGCTCAATCTCATCAGATATCAGAAGCTAAGCAGGTCAGCCCTGGTTAATATTTGGATGACTAAAAGAATATTTCCAGGACAAGCTTTAGACAACAGGGTGACAGTGCCTCTGCTTTTAAAACCACGGACTAAACATAAACAACCCTTCCAAGATGGGGAGGAGGAAAAGAATAGGAGGATACGGGTAGAGGAATCACAGAGGGAAAACATGGCAGAGGAATTACAACAAAACCTAATTATTCCGTTAGGCGGAGAAGCTATACATCTCGAAAATTCACTAGAGGAAGATTAAATTAAAAACTTCTCAACTTTACCAGCAATGGATCAACTAGCAGTTACAAACAGATTACAAATTCTAAGCTAGACGCTATTAAAGATGGGACAGGGCTGTTTTAACTATGGACACTACAATTACAATGCCATCGACGAATATCAATATGAGAACCAAAATACTGAGGAAGTCCCGGGTTGCTATGCAGAGGCAGGCAATGACCAATCACTTCTGCTCCTCTGTCGCCTTGACCTGGATGGCCCAAGCTAAACCCAATCTCATCAGATCTGGAAAGCTAAACAGGGTCGGCCCTGGTGAGTGCTTGGATGCAAGACCACTAAGAAAGTCCCGGGTTGCTACGCAGAGGCAGGCAATGGCAAAACCACCTCTGAACGTCTCTTGCCCTGAGCCTGCTTTGCGGGGAGGGCGGGGTATAAATTTGATAATGAATAAATAAATAAATTGCCCAACCTGGTGTCATTTAACACACATGCAAAATAAATATTCAGATTTGCAGTCTGCCCCAATGGCTTGGGGCAACATAGGCTAACATACAACGTCAAGACCAAAAGTTTAAGCACAGAAGAGGTTCCCAGAACGCACTTCAGTTCTTTCAATTCACGCACAGCGTCATTCTTTTGCTTCCTCATATCATCCAGGTTGCGAAGGGCCTCTGCCAAGTCGCTGACCGCTCTGTCCCTCTCCCTCCGCAAGTTGTCGCACAGAGTCCTTGAAAAGGGAACAAGGTTTAAACAGGAAGTTAGGCTGAATAATGTGGGGGAAAGAGGCTAGCTGCCAAGACCACTGTTGGTCACCACTTCATTTCGCTCAAAGTGCACATCAGTCAGCGCTACTGCTCGTCCACAGAGGTCTCTTCTCACTAGTTTGCCAACCAAAGGGCCAGGTTTGGCCCAGAAGCTGCATGTTGCTGATCCCTTATAGCAGGGGTGTCGAACTCATTTGTTACGAGGGCCGGATCTGACATAAATGAGACCTTGTTGGGCATATGTGTGTCATAAAATATAATGCCAGGTAGTGGAGACATAAACTTTATAAAGGACACAAACACAAAGGTTTTTTTTTACTTACAATAAAAACATGCTTAAAACATTACAACTCTTGCAGTATTTTGTTTATTTAACAGTGTCTGACAACTGACACCTCTTGCCCTGAATGATTGCATCAAAATGTCTGTGCTGTTGCAGTCTTGAGTATGCTGTTCAGGTGTGTATCTGTGAACTGCAAACCTACGATGACGCAGCAGCAGCAGATCCGGAAGAAGAAGCAGAAGACAGCCAGTTCCACTGCGGGCCTGATAGAAGCCCTCCAGGGGCCTTATCTGGCACCCGGGCCGCATGTTTGACACCCCCTGCCTTACAGTAACAGAGTCAACTGCTAGAGACTCTCCTCCCCCAAAGCAAACCCCTGTACAAGACAGGTTTGTGGCAGTGGTGCTGAGACCAAGTGAAACCTGGGCTCCAATCCCCAGGGAGTCCTCCTTGGCCTTCGCACAATGCCGTTTCAGATCTTGTTTGGCCAGACCTTCACTAACCACAGGAAGTCGGGGCAGCTCGCATGCAGGCAATTACCCTGGTCACCGTTATTAGTGTAACTAAACCATGGTTTTCTGTAGAACTAGCGCACCGTCTCCAGTATGAATCCTCTTACCCGATGTCAATTGGAAAATGAATTTTAAAAAAGTAACTTCAACAAGCCGAATTTCTTTGTAATTAAAAAAAAAAGAATTAAAAGGCTTTCTTAAAAGGTAAAGGTAAAGGTTCCCGTGCTCGAAAGCCAGTCGAGTCTGACTCTAGGGTTGCGGTGCTCATCTCCGTTTCAAAGCCGAAGAGCCAGCGCTGTCCAAAGACGTTTCCGTGGTCATGTGGCCGGCAGGACTAAACACCAAGGTGCACGGAACGCTGTTCCCTTCCCACTGAAGTGGTACCTATTTATCTACTTGCAATTTCTTGCTTTCGAACTGCTAGGTTGGCAGGAGCTGGAACTAGAGACGGGAGCTCACTCCGTCATGTGGCACACTCGGGTCTCGAACTGCTGAACTACTGACCTTCCACAGCCTGCAGTTCGGCGTCTTAACCCCTTGAGCCACGGCTTCTTAATTACTTGTTAATTAATTGTTTTCACAACCAGAGTCATAAACAGCAAACCCTCACCCCCCCAAAAAAGGAGAACCTAAAAGTCACTATAAAAGTGATCATGTAATTTAACAACAGCTGCTGGGAAAGCTTTCAGAAACTTTTAAAAAAGTGCAAAAAAGTAATCATGAGGACCAAAAACAAGCTTGCTCCTAAGTCCTGCGACTCTGACTGGCGTGGCCATTCCCCATCCAGCCTTCCTTCTTTTTACCGTATGCTCTCTCTTTCTGCAACGATCTTGTCACGTTCCTGGAAGGCCCAATCCCGCCTGCACTTGGCGACCTCGGCTTCCTGGACCGCCTCTTTCAGCTCCTGAGACATGGCCTCGTACTGCTTCCGAAGCATGTCGATCTCTTTGTTAGCTCTTTCAATGTCCATGGTGGCAGAATCTTGTATCTGAGAAAGGGAGAACCAGGCGGGGTTTATTCAGTCACAGTTTGGGGCAAGGAAAAATATAACCCTTAACAGAACTTGGATTTTTAAAAAGTACAGTTCTGACTCTTGGAAGTTTATATTCCCGATGTTTCCTCTAATCCCACCCCACTGAGCAGAGCAGTGTCAAACTCGGAGCCTCGTTTGCCACGGGATTTCTCTGCTCTGTTTTCACTGCTTGTTGTGATCATCTTGTATTTGGGCTGTTGGGGGGGGGCAGTATGTGAGTGAATGGATGCGTGAATGGGAACCTGCTTCACTTAGGCACTTTGTAACTGTTTTTCCTAACGGGCCTCCCGACTCACTTGCTCACAACTTTAATGTCAGCAGCTCACAAAGTAGAATTTTTGCTCACAAGACTCCACAGCTTAGAGGGAACATTGCTTGTGATCATCTTGTATTTGGGCTGTTGGGGAGGGGGGGCCAGTATGTGAGTGAATGGATGCGTGAATGGGAACCTGCTTCACTTAGGCACTTTGTAACTGTTTTTCCTAACGGGCCTCCCGACTGGGAAGATTGCAAATGACCTTAGAGCCTGTCTCTGCTAGCCGGCCCGTCACAGATAATATAACTGTAGGTTCGCAGGTGGGGGGTGGAAGAGAACGCGTTACATTTAGACAGGCTGCATGAATGGCTTGATTGGATGGGGCGGGAGGGGG